GCTCATGACAGTAGTCGCACGCAGTACTCATTACAGTGCAGTTTTGATGCAAATTTAGGTTTCTCCTATACCATGTTCAAGTTTATTTGAGATTTGCCTCAGTTCATACTTTGCAGTTATACTTTGTATGATGTCCTCATAAAACTGAAGAATCTCAAATTAAATGTGCAAATGTATTCGACGCTGCTTCGCATCCGTTCATGGATGGTTCAGGTTCTACGACACCATGGAGCCGTTGCCTTGTTAAAGGGTTCCTCATGCTGCTAGACCCCAGAGAGGGGGGGGGACGGTGCAGCAGTGCCACGTAAATCCACGGAATGAGAAGTTCATTTTTGTGGACAGTGTTGAAAACCAGCAATTTGCCAATAATTGTCCAAACCATGGCAGTTTCCAATTTCCGACTCGTTCGTGCCCCCCTAGTCGTCTTTCTGGAATCAAAGCGTGAAGCATCAGCCGGAAGGTGTAACTAAACGGTCAGTCGTCGAGTTCGATTAAACACGTATCGATCGAGGCGAGGGCCATTTACGACGGTGCCGCTCCCGGCGGATTTAAATGCATCATCATTAGTCCCTTGTCGATGCTTCTCAACGATGTCAAAGCCTATCATCTGTTCGATGAGCAACGTCGATTAGTCCGACTGCTTGGACCCGGCGCTGGCCGGCTTTAAGCTACACGAAATTAATTAAACGTTTGTAATGGCAAATCATCAGCTTCAAAGAATGTCCAACGTCCACGTCAGTCAGCTGAGGGTTGACGACGCCTCTTAATAACTGCTTATCGTCATATCGCACTGATGGACAGACTCAGACTGACTGTCAGTCGTTTCCATTCATTCACTTTGAAACGTGGCCGAGGCCGAGGCCGAGGCAGAGGCGAGCAGTTGTTACTCTCTTGGCCGTCATTCACATCAGACCAGAAACACAAGCACACGGGAACAACACAAACAGATTTTAGATGTGGAAATTGAATTTTCATTGTAAATCGCACTCCGCCGGGATCGATGCCAAAGATGTGTTGTCAAAGCACACTGTGGAGACGATCGATGGTCTCTTCCTCACTGCAACAGCAACAGCAACTTCAAGACGCTGAGTTTCTGTTATCTGGCTTTTCCTCGTTTGGGCACGCCATGAACACAGTTGGACGCTCCCTCAATGTTCTCCGTTTTTCGCCAAACAATTTCAGCACTGAATAGTCCCAGCATGTTTTTGGACGAATGGACATTTGTGGTC